ACATCCGAATAGAAGTCGAAAACTAACTCATCGATATCGGTCTTGTCATTCTCACGGGAGTCCTCTTCCTTAACTTTACCACACGCCACCTCGCCTCAACGAGCGATAGAGGCGTTACTCCAATTACAAACAGGAGCTTGCCTCATTCTTTACCGATCATCTCCCACTAAAAACTTACGATACTACGTATACCCGCAAGGAGGAAATTAAGTGATAATATATAAAGCTCGAGTCATGGTTTATGGGGCTATACATCTTGAGGAAGGACAGGCGACTGGGGCACGAAAAGAGATAGGTGATCTCTTTTTTTATATATATTTATAGTCAATTCAGCTTTCTAGCTATGACACATTTATCATTTACAGCTCTGATACTCTCTTTAAATATCATCATTCTACCCTGCAATCTAAGTTGTCTATTTCCCAATTATATATTCTAATTTAACTCACTTTATTTTTTAATTTTTTGCATCATATTATATTCGGCTATGTAGCTATGACAATTGAGTTTCTATTTATTTACAATGAAGATGACGCCATTTAACGCCCTGACTTCTTTTTCTACACTATTGCATGCCCAATGTTTATGTACCCATTTAGTCTCCTTTGTATGCTGACATACAATTAGTAGTTTTCAAAGATTCTAGAAGGGCTTCCTTCCCCCCCCCTTTTTTCTCAATAATATTTGTAATGAAAGTGGTTTTATTTCGGCAAATGCTTATTCTCTCTGTTCACAAAATCTGCCACAACTTCGCAGTGGTACTTGAAAATGAAATCCGAGGCATGAGTACTCTTCTTGTAAATTGAGTCATCTTTTCAATACTTTTCTTCGATATTGTGTGATAGCTAGATAGCTGCATACGCAATTAGAATCTGATGCAAAAAAAATCACAAAGCTTATGCTGCTCCCAGCTGTCTGTAGAAGTGATGCATCAGAGTAGCTATGTCATCATCTAGATGAGTATCCTTGATTTGCTGAATGTAGGATAGTTTGGTTGTTGCCTTTGAATGCTTAGAAATAGTAGTATATATGTCAGATAGATGCCATGCTGGAGCCCGGAGGGCGAAGCGATCTCTCGCCGGAATGATAGTTCTGGTTGGGGGACAAAACTCAACACCTGTCAGTGGTGTTTCCTACAAACCTCCAGCTCTTATTGTAGAGTCTGTAGAGCCGAAAATTGAGCAACACCTTTTCAACTTTGAGCTGAGTCGTCTGTTAGAAATTGTCAAGGATTTCTAGGAGGAAATATCTCGATGAAAAAGTGTACAATTTCGGATAAGAATTTATTGATAGTTGTGTATGATGTCGAACCTCTTCTCAATATGAATTAATGATATATAATACTCCGTTAACTTAGTTTAAAACATACAAGTAAGTCTATCCTTAAATACAGATCCCCGAGGCTTTAGTGATCCCGAACTCCCAGTGATCTAGCAACAACCAGCCACTTAATTATCGCAAGGTGGCATTTCCTAGCCACTGCATTTCAGATACCTATGAACCTCATGACGCCCAGCTAAGCTTATACATATGTAATCGAATCAATCCAATTGATCTTGATGATCATACCTAGAAATCTAAACCTGCATACATACTGAGTCTAGATTTACAACATCATCTCCCCCTCCGTCAAAGATACGCTTCCGATATCATTTATTTATTTTTAAAGGTCTACCGGGCTTCAGCTACGGCTAAGGCCCCATCCATTGGGGGACATGATGATAACTACGTACTAAACTAAATAACACTAAATTGGGAGCCTGAAGGCCTTGAATACTGCATATGTTAAGGTGTTGTGAGCGCTGTACAACAGAACTCTTACATGGACATGAGTCAATGGGCACGGATCGGGCAAATTTCCGAAAGGAACTTTGTCTTCTACAAAATGGAAGAAAAACGCTTTGTACCACGAGAAGAGCCAAGAAGTAAATCAAGCTTCCCCAGCTTCCGATAACACACAAGACGACGATAATGATTGTTGGAACAGTAGCCATGTACACTCTAGTAATAGGTGAAATATGTATTAACCTATTGTAGCAGTAGTGTGACTTACGTAATATTCTCTTGGCATTCCTACACGACACCAAGAGGATTAGAACGGATAGATAGAATGAACATATGTGAATGTTATTGTATCGTTTTATTGAATCTATTTATTACCTTTTAATTACGCGCGTATACCGTATTGTACCAACAATGATGCTTGGAACGAGGAAAGATAATGCGGTACTAAACGCTACAACAGCTGTCAGAGAAGCCCTCGTCATATCACAACATGTGCTAGCCAGCGGCGGGCAAATATAAAGGCCAAGGAAGCAACGTTAAAGACCCTTTCGCCTTCACAATAAGCGGATTCCAACTCGTTAACAATATCGTCCCTTCTAATCTACACTTCCGAATCTACTAGCTAGGAGAGTATCTGAAGTACATGAGTTACCCGACGACCCCACGTCCGTAACGCCTCTTGGATGCTAAGCTAGGATTCTTCACGACAGTCACTCTCGACCAAGACTTTTCTGACATCCTTTCACGACCTTCGGTTCGTCCTGCGGCATAACTCAGGGGAGGAGCAAGGAGGAGGCAAGGAAGGTTGAGAGACACTCTTAGGTATACACAGGTCTGCTGCGCCCGGCTGGCCGGCCTCTTCCTCACAAGAGAGCCCCGCACCCAGTGGTTTTTGAGACTTTTCCCTGCAGCTACACACCCGCAAATGGCCATTGTTTCGTTTGCTGGAGAGGGGAGACAACGACGGGATAACGGCTCTTATTAGTGTACGATAAATGGACGACTTGAGATGGGAGTTTGATCTTAGACATATGAGCGAATATACTTTTTGGATAGCTCTACTTTGCTCGCTGCTATTTTTTTTTATCATTTAATGTGTATTCAGCTATCTAGCTATGATACGTGACAGGTGCTATAAAAACATATTGGATGACTTTTTTGAGGTTGGAGACACTCATGCTCTGGATTTCATTTGCAAATGCCACTGAGGTATGTTTGCTTACGCAAACAGTCGTCCCTCCTCCGTAAGTACCCACCAAAGGGAAACTCAAAACTGTTGGTTATCCAAGCATGCCTTCGTCATCCATGCATACCAGCGCCGCGAGAAAGGTGGTTGTGTTTTGCCGGATTCGAACCAGCGATCTACTGTCTCGAGTGGGATATGTGTCCAAGCTATCCAGACTCTACTTGGCAGACTGGCCAAAACGATGTACCACCGCACCATCCAACCATGGCGGTGTTTATAGTGTCGCCTGCACTCTCGCAGCCGAAGTCTTGCCACGCACAAAGCTCAATTTGTAAAACTTCTTGCCAAAATTCCATATTTTTATTCCCAACTAGTCCGACTCAAATCTAAGTCTCATCGAGTCTACAAGTACGACCTAGTATATCCTCATACCAATGATCACACCTCTCGTCGACTTTCTCCGGCCTCAGCCGGTCACCAAATACACGCCCACGCCGAAATTTCTACCCGCCGGAGGAAACAAAGCGTGGTGCACAAGTCTGGGAGACAGCTCTTTGGGATGGACGTAAGAGGGATTCTGACAAGTTCACAAAACGGTGCCGAGGATGGATACAGTCTCGACGGGCGTGAAATTTCGAATTTTGGAATTTTGGCAAGCAGTTTTACGAATTGAGCTTTGTGTGCGCCAAGAGTTCGCTTGCGAAAGTGCAGCTGACACTGTAAATACAAATCAACGATTAAAAGCGCCTTGGCCCGCCTCCTGGTGTTGATTTCTTGTATGGTCCGAGTAGCCTGGACACCTACTCCACTTGGGAAGGAGACACCTAATACCACATTTCGCGCGGAGAAATTTGGACGGATGATGCGGACATGTCTGGATAACCCAGGGTTTTTGAGACGTTCCCTGGGTGGGCAATCACGGATGCGGGATGACTTGGGGTGAAGAAAAAGCTACCATGACTTCGCAGTGGTATTTGCAAATCAATTCCGTAGCATGAGAGACCTCAAATTAAGCCGGGTCATGTATTCTGTACTTTTCATTGATAGTGTGTCAGAGCTAGATAGCTGCATGCGCAATTAAAATCTGATGCAAAAAAAGCTTTGGCCATCAATTTCCTCCTATTTGCCCGTGACGGCGAGCCCGGTTAATATTGAGATTCCCCTATCGCATCTCGACGTAGGGGTAGGGGTAGCAAGGGCTCGCGACTTGTCGCAGGCATATCTCCGAGCCCCGGCGATCCCGGCCGGGCGTTGGCCTCGTGGATGTCTACGCGAGGGGCCTGCGCGCCTTGTTGCTTTATGGGGACTGAGCGCGCCACGACACCAACCAGCACACTCGAAAGTCAGATTGCCTCGCACGCCCGTAGAGGCATGGCCGAAACGCAACTGACCCTGTGCTGACAGAAAAATGTTCAGCTCCTCTACCTTGTGGAGAGATCAAGCTTCCGATCGACAAGCAGGCCTACGAGTCTATTCACGTCATGGAGTCTCTTGTCAATTGATAGGAAAATTTTAGGGTATATTTAGATCAGTTAAATAATAATTATGTATATGTGGTATCACTTGTTTCTAGATGCAAAAGTCTACCTCGTGGTTACTGGGATTTGATATCCACACCAGTCCTCACTCCAATATAGGGGCGAATACGGCATAGATGGTGATGACGCCACCAAGATTTGCCATTAATCCTCTTTTGATAAAATGCCTGCCCACCATCCCCAGTTTTCAGAGGTTCCCAACGCCGCGCTAAATTGATTGTCGTAGAGAGTGTAACACGACAACTCCAAAATCATCATTAATCATCGCGGCGGAGCTTGTTCGTGGTATACTCTTGCGCTATTTCATTGCATTATCGTCAAGTCCGCCTGCGGAAGGTGCAAGTGCTGGATTGAAGCCCTCATCTCGGGAGGTTGTCAAGGATTGTCCGTGGACTAGACTTTTGTTTGGCATTCATATTAGATTTGTGCACATGTGGCATCATTATATATGTGTCAGACCAGTAGTTGAGATTATTCCTCCTCCTATTGAGCTAGAAGTTTTCCATAGGCATTATAAAATTTAGAGGATTCGGACCACTTTTGATGCTTTTTAGTGAGCGTATGCTAGCTCGATCTGAAATAACTTTTCCAGCTCCTGGAGCAGCAGTAACAATGGTACCTGGGGTCGTGGCAGGGGGAGGAGTTGAAGAGTCAGTTCGGAATAGAGGATGAATGTGTGATTCGTTGGAGGGATCAGCGGTGGTAATTGCTCGAGACATACGGTTTAATTCGCGGTTGCTATTTCCCGGACTGTAGCTTCGGCTTCGACGAGAAGATTTTGAGGGTTGTGGACTCGATGGAAAAGCCGAGCTTTGTGGTGAACAGTCGGTGGGACTTGCTGGGATTGTTTCTAAACATCGAGCAATAGGATCTGGATATCTGGGTAGAGGGAATGAAGAGTAGGAATCCATTACTGCTCGAGAAGAAATATCACCACCAAATCTATCTCGAGACTCTGGCCCATCTAGGCTGTAGGGCTTAATTTCTTGTAGGGACATTTCGAAGGATTTTCCATGGTGCGGAAGATAGGCGGGGGGTACAAGCCTTGCTTTGGACATAGTGTTGAGGGATGAGCGGAGAGATGGCTTAAGTTCGGGTACGGAGTGAACTTTGCTTCGACAGGAGTCGGCAGAAAGAGTGGGTTTGAGATCATACTTCGGCTCATATGGATTCATTGAGGAGTGGTCTTTTCCTGTTGTTTTCATGTCGGACAATTCGCTCGACTCAGCGGCAGATTCATTAGACCCGTAAAATTGCTCCTTAGTGGCTCGATGACGCAGAAGGTATATGCGAAAAATAATGAGACATTGTGAAATGAGAGATATAGCCCATAAAATAAAGGCGGCAGTAACTAGGTTATGGGTCGGGTGTTGTAATTTTCTAGAGTCTCGTGTCTTGAGAATACCGAGGAGAAGAGCTGTGACAGCAGATGATATGATACCAGAAAAGCCACTTACGCCAGCTAATAAGTTGGCAGGCTGGCCCGTTCTTATGGCGTTGGTTGAGGATATTTTGGGAAAGAACCGAAGTTGCAGAACAAGAAGTAGGAAATATAGAATGAACGTAATAGCACTGAATGTGGAGGAGACAATGGCCATAACCCTTATCTGTTCGGGCGAGGAATAATGATGTAAGGTTACCGAGAAAAATATGCTTATTATGACCATAGCTAACCCGCTCGAGGCAGCTAGAGCACCCAAAGCAAGTGACATTGTCCCGCAAGTCCTCATATCTGAGTAGGCACTGAAGCTAATGTTCTAGACAAATTTTTAGAGGAATATATTGTACAGAGTTCGAAGAGCGAAAATTTCAGACTTGGTGTGATCCGAATATTGGAGCCAATTCGATAGAACTTGGTGAGAGCAAAATAAGATTTGTTACATGGATAGAACGTCAACAGATACTTGAATTATTTTTGGAGATCGTATATGAAGATCGCGAAAGAGTTAGGATATCTCAAACTTCTCGATGGTGAAAAATTGATGAGGGATTCAAGGTTAATCTTTGGACGGAGAGTTGGATGTGAGTCGCGTTGATGAAACTTTAGTTATGGATCTGATTTGTCATGGACAGTATCTGAGTAAGATAGATTTCAGGTGCGTCAAATTATTGTCCAGAGAAGTTGATCGAGGTATCTTTTTACAAATCTGTATGGTGGAGTGTAGCTCGAGGGTTAAGATAAATTCTGATTATCAGATAAGAACAGGATTCTATCTGGCAGAGAACAATTCCAATGATCGGGGTTCCAGTGTCGAATTGGTGTCAGAGGCGGAGAGTAGATATTGCTGCCTTGTGTAGTAAGGTGATGGCGTTGGTGGAATCTGGCGGATAGAAGATGGGGCGTTGGGATATTATAGTTGTGTGGTCTGTCCACATTTGTTTATGTTAAGAGGGCCATCCCGTTGGGCCCCTGCATGGAGGAGCTCTGATAATTCAGCCTACTGATCTAGGCCCCACGGCCGACCCTTGGGGTTGGGTCACCTAGAGATGAGGGGAGCCTCTGTTCGACCGGCTAGGTGGTGACAGGCCCCCCTCCCCACTTATGGTAGAATGCAGGGTTACAGTGGACCTTTGCGCAATCGTGCGGAAGATGTCCACTGTATAGTCAGCGGAGTTTAGGTTCTGGAAAAGTGTAAAGCACTCTACAGCTCTGCGACGTTCGCTCCTAGATAACTACAGTAACAGTGTATCATTGACCAGGTCGTGGAGTCTAGCCAATGAGGTTTTTGGCGACAAACAATTCAACCCCGATACAACCGCTGGCATTCTCAATGCATTGTTTCAGACTAGACGTTGTCCTCTGCCATCTGCGATCTTTCAAGTGCAATTGTAGCTCTATTCAGTTAGGACATGGGTGTCAGGGAGCCGCAATGGCCCGAGCAACATTGAGGAGTGGTGTTAATGGGGTTTTCCAAGATAGACGTAGTGAGGCATGCAGTTTGATGGTTGGCACACTCCAGAGTATCTCTGCCCCACCCCAGAATGCCGTATTTGCATGAGGGCATCTGACACTACCGCTGCTCGTTACTAGGACGAGGAAAAGTTACTGCAGAGTTGGCAAATTTTCTGGCGAGACCCACGTTTTTTGGGGGTAGATAAAAGGTGAAGAGCCGTGCGATTGTCCAGGAATTAATTTACGCACTTGTAGAAAGATTGGAGACTTTCGGTATTGGTGGTTGCTAGAGAGATTTACTTGTGGTAGAAGGACCACTGATCAGATGCAGCGAGGGGAGTGGTTGTTGTGCACCGTATCGTAAACGACCATCCGCATTTGAGCAGCTTGGCCAGCGGCAGTTCAGTAGGCGGACCATGAGAAACGAGGGCGTACCGATGGATGGGGAACCATGATGAAGGTAATTCTCTCGTCAATCCCTCGGTCCCGGGGAGTGAGGAAGTGGCGGCCACTCGGATGACGGATGGAGTCCCATAATTAACCTCGTCTCACGTGACTATAGACTGGTGAGTCCCGCGCCGACTCGGCCAGCAAGCCCATCCCCTCTGCGTGGGCTAGGAAAAATGAAATTAACTAAGCCCTTGAATAACACGCAAAGCAGTGGGCGGTGACGCGTGTGGGCACTTCATCTAAGCCTCTGGAAGTCGTAGGAATGGACGAGTGGGTCTGCAATAGTCCAGAAGCCTCCACTTCCTTGTCCAGAGGCTGTGAGAAGACCCGTCGACACTCTAGAAAGGCTGGGATGGCGTGGGGCGGGTTCAGGGCGATCAGATCACCATGAATTTCGCGTGGAAGGAGTTACGGCATTTGCAAAGGAGACGATGTATCTGGGATACTTCAACTGCTGGCTCATCAATTTTGCCGCAATCAGATGGCGGTTAAGGGAGCGACGCTAGGCAATGACAACGGCCACGCCCGTGGCATATCTAGACTAGGTCATCGACCCCGCCGGCTCGAGGACCTCTCGTTCGTGTGCTTGGATTTCTCGTAACGGCAGGTGACGAAGAATGAGGCTTGAGTCAGGATGGCATGCGAAAGGTGATGCTCGTGGGAGCAAGCAACAATCAGCGGAGACGGTTGTCGTGGAAACGCGCAGATGAGTGTCCAGGTCTGGCGCCGACGCGGCCATCACTCACCCTGGTTCATTCTGCATCGCGGCTGAAAAGGAGCAGCGAGACATTTGCTCGCGAGTTTTGCCGCGACAAATCTCCGGTCTGCAGCGGCAAAGACGTTCCTATGCTCCGCTGAGAGAACGAGCTAACCCTGCTTCTGTTAAGTGTAATAGGTTCCCCTGGCCCAAGGAAATAAGGCGGGCACGAGACAGAGATGATGGCGAGAATTTCTCGCGTCGTTCGCTCCATCGACGCCGACTCGACTTGACTACAGTGCAGACTGGCGAGTGTAGATGTTCTGGTCAAACGAATATAAGTGCCGTCATTACCCGACGTGAACCATCGTCTCGGAGGCGTCCTGTCACCGGGCCGGAGCCCCGGATCAACAGTCCAACAGTATGCGCTGCAAGGCGGCAACTTCGCCGGGCGAATTGAAATCCCCCTCACATAATACTCGCATGACGGCCACCGCTAATCGTGGCTCGACAAAGGACAAGCCGCAGCGTGGGGCCTTGTCTGCCGGGCGTGGCGAAGCGATGGCCCCTTCTCCCTTCTTTCCGGCCATGCAGTCGGCGCCGCATCTCTACCTTCCCCTTTCCTCCGCGCCATCGAAATCTACGCAACAGCGCGTCGCCATCTTGCCCACGCATTTCCTCCAGCGAACCCCGCAGACCAAAGACGGCTTTCCGACGGAGAGGCGAGGACGGCCCTTTTTCCAGCGGAACGGGGCCGCCTGGGGCCCTGTGACCTAGAGTTCGAAGGGCGGGGCATAGTGCTGTCTTATTCCAGCTTGTTTCTGGGGCTCGTTTGAAGTTGCCTTGTCCCAGAGTCCTTTCCGTTTGGGATATGGCTGCCATGGATCCCGCCAGGCGACACAATGGCCGCGCGCCGTGAACGGGGGCATTCAACTGCCATATCTGAGCAAAGCTTTGAGGCTTGCCGGCGATGACTGCAACTACATTCGCGGCAACGAAAATGGGCACGAGCTTGCTCATGCGCCCGAGACTGGCAAAGATCATACTACATCTGTCGCCGCTCTGGAAGTACCATCGTTATGCCTATTCATCCGGCCGGAAGGTGCTTTACTTTGCCGCGTAACGTTTTCATGGAAATCTTGGGCGAGATCAATCTTACTATGCCCCGCACGCGTAGCCTCGAAGACCAAAGATGGAACCTGCCACTTCTTGCACTTGGCGCAACGATTTTCATCGGTTCATCGTGCGCGGTATGGGGTAATGTTCTGGGGAAGTACTTACGCCCGGCCCTGCCTAACGACGTTAATTGGCTCTCACGAATCTAGGTTCACTATGCGTTTTTCGGTGCCGTCAACGCCCCGCGTGGTCAAGTATATGTCCCAGATTAGGTCTGAGAGATCTTCGGATTCTTGTTCCCCAGCCAACTAGCTGTCAGCCTGACCCGACAGATATGTCACAGGGATCATGCTTGTAATAATGAGGGCAGCTTCTTTACTCATCAGCTACCCCTACCTCCAACTCTTCGCGAACGTCCAGGGCTGCTTGATCGCCGTTGTTCCAGACGCAATGTCGGTCGAAACCCGAATAGAGAGGCAGACCGAGCAAGCTAGTGCAAATGGCACCTACTCTACCACATCTTTGACAAGGATTAAGATGGAGCGAAGAGGGCCTGCGCTTGCAGCTCAAGATATACAAAAATATATTCACATTCATGGCCAGACTTCCAACTTCTTCGTCACCACACAATGTGCTAGATAGTCATAGACTCAAGTAGCACAATAAATACATAGACCTCGTCACCGTCGTCAGCGAGCGTCCATGACGACCAATAACCCACGTCTGGAAACTCTGCCGGTTGCACCACTACGCTCATGAGACCATCAATCGTCACCCCTTTCTACCATGATGGCGCTTGGGAGTCATCGTTGCTGTTAGGAAAATGAATCACCCTACACTCGACTACACATTAATCATGGAACAAGAGTTCGTCCTTTTTTCTATATTGTATCCAATAATTCGCTCGAGAAACAACTTCTACACGGCGTATTTGCCCGAAGTCCGACGCGAAAGTATCATGATGCATGGGCCACTAAGTACCCGGAGGATCCCAAAATAGGACGTTTGCGGGGTCTGTCGAGAGCAGACACAATCCTCTATCATGAAGAATTTGTGATTGACCCGGGCTCAGAAAAGGGTGATGGTCGGACACTTGAATACACTGTCACTCAAAGTTAGGAAATCTGATTTTCCTTACGACGAAAAGACTACGAAGTGGAGGTTGTAACAGGATAAGTAACTATCGACATGCGTAAGTACTCCACAGAGCTTTTGAAGATGATGTTTCGCCTCATGCATATCTTCATCATTGACATTGCGGTGCTACATAGCAGCAATAGGCCCACCAGGTAGATGACGCGGTCCTTCCATCGCAAGGGAGGGTTTCGATATTACGGCTGTCATCGCGGCACGGTCTCTCGTACCGCCACATACCGGCTTTCGCACGCCCTACGAATTCTAACTTCTAGCCCGACAATTGACGTCTTGGACGCCGGCGAGCCAGGGAGAGGGCAGGAAGACTCTCCATCATGGTTCCCCGCCCTACATCTGGTGTCTACTCGTCCGCTTGTCCCTCCCAACAACACGTGTCATGGGCACGGACGAAACTATGGCCGCTCGTACGCTCCTCTTCT